GACACTTGAGCTCTAAGACTAAATTGACATCTGAGCTCTAAGACTAAATTGACATCTGAGCTCTAAGACTAAACTGACACCTGAGCTCTAAGACTAAATCGACACCTGAGCTCTGAGACTAAATCGACACCTGAGCTCTGAGACTAAACTGACACCTGAGCTCTGAGACTAGACCGACACCTGAGCTCTAAGACATAACTGACACTTGAGCTCTGAGACTAAACTGACACCTGAGCTCTGAGACTAGACCGACACCTGAGCTCTGAGACTAGACCGACACCTGAGCTCTAAGACTAAACCAACAACTGAGCTTTAAGACTAAATCGACACCTGAGCTCTGAGACTAAACTGACACCTGAGCTCTGAGACTAGACCGACACCTGAGCTCTAAGACTAAATCAACACCTGCTTTAAGCACGTACCTAGACAATCTTACCTAAGATTAGAATAAAAGTCAACAACATTCACACTATTATCGTAAAACTTTCCCCTCAAGTATTTTCATACACTACCTGTTTAACAATCCTAGGATTTTCCTTCAGCATTCCACTTAATTTTCCAAGAAGAGACCTTCTACTGGATCCCTCTGGAATCACCCCTTTTTCAGTCCCAGTCATTTCTTCTTGAGTTTGTTTAAGGCTTGTTACCAGCTGGGAAGAGTCCAGACTTCTCTGATCTGAAGGATTTTTAATCAACGTGTCTGGCTGAATAATCTTTTTATCTGACCTTCCAACTTTTCCTTGGCATGATACATTTAGGCTTTTTGTCTCTGATGCTACTGAAACCTAAAACATGACAGATACAAATAAATAGAAAATATAAATACTTTCTTTTCTTTTTACTGACCATTTGCTCTCCAGGATTTCTCTCATTTTCAACAACAGTTAGATTTTTACTAATAGCCAAATTAAATAAGTAACTCTTCATTCATTCAATTATGGTGTGCTGGTTTCAAACCAAAGGTTGACAATCACATCTCCCCAAGCTTCCTTATTGTTTGCTTTCCTATTTATATTCACATACTTTATTTCCTGACCATCCACTATCGTCCATCTTCTCCTGCTTGGCCATCCTTTTACCTTCTTTCCGTAGATTTTGACATCAACCACATTTAAGAACATGTTATTATTTGAACCCTCATAACATGCCTGACAATCTCCATCTTCCTTTTCCATGACTGACAACATTGATTCATTCTCTTCAATATTTCCTTGTTGTTTATCTTGTCTTTACAACTGATTTAATGATAAAACTACAATACAAATGCCTTAATCCAGTTCTTGCATTCCTGAATTATAGCCAAATATTCATATCTGTAAAGCACTACTGAGGAAACATAACATCTTAAAATTCTCTTATTAGTGTATATGTTAACATTATGCATTTTCTATTTACTACAGTATTTTTCAAAATTACCACATTGTCCTGATTATAAGAGGACCCCCATTTTCAGAAACAATGGGATAGAAAAAAAAATTGAGTGTCACAATATTCTTTTTTAGGTCCACAAAATTAATACTATAACTGAACAGCCTGCAGGTGGATTAGTTGTAAGAATTAGCGATGATCTGGAGCAAATATCTTGCATGCATGCATAGACTGATATTCAGGAATGAGACAGGCTAAGAGTAGGGGGAAGGGGTCTGTGGTCAGCCACAATTATAAGGTGACTATGAACTTTATAGCCTAATTATTAATCAAAAAACGTTGCTTTATAATTGGGCCAATACAAAAGTGGTAATTCTATGAATGTGTATTTTTCACATAATACATGGTCAAGAAACTAACTTTCTCAGTTGCTTTTGTTTTAACTACTTTTGTTCTTTGTCATTATCTTAAGATAACATAGGGTCTGTCCATAGGGAGTATGGGTCCTCCAACAGTAGGTCAGATAATGCCTTGAGGTTGCAACCTCTTTTATCTTTGAATGGGAAGGATCAGTCATGTGAGTATACCTGAATAAATCTGGTATTACCATTCAACTAAGTAACGTGAGGTTTAGTCAGTCTGGAATAGAATCAAGGCAGTTTGGAGATTAAAAATAGCTTACAACCCACTAAAGGCAGCCATCTGTCTTATAAAGTAAATAAGCACACCACGTTTCTAAAAAATAAAGATTGTTTATTGTACAATTGTTTCAAGTCTCTGTTTCCTTCTCACAACTACTAGATAATAAATATCATCTACGAATCCCACATTATTCTAAGGATATTTCTAAAAAATAAAGATTGTTTATTGTACAATTGTTTCAAGTCTCTATTTCCTTCTCACAACTACTAGATAATAAATATCATCTATAAATCTCCAATTATTCTAAGGATATTTCTAAAAAATAAAGATTGTTTATTGTACAATTGTTTCAAGTCTCTATTTCCTTCTCACAACTACTAGATAATAAATATATCTACGAATCTCCCATTATTCTAAGGATATTTCTAAAAAATAAAGATTGTTCATGTACAATTGTTTCAAGTCTCTGTTTCCTTCTCGCAACTACTAGATAATAAATATATCTACGAATCTCACATTATTCTAAGGATATTTCTAAAAAATAAAGATTGTTTATTGTACAATTGTTTCAAGTCTGTTTCCTTCTCACAACTACTAGATAATAAATATATCTACGAATCTCACATTATTCTAAGGATATTTCTATAAAATAAAGATTGTTTATTGTACAATTGTTTCAAGTCTCTGTTTCCTTCTCGCAACTACTAGATAATAAATATATCTACGAATCTCACATTATTCTAAGGATATTTCTATAAAATAAAGATTGTTTATTGTACAGTTGTTTCAAGTCTCTATTTCCTTCTCACAACTACAAGATAATAAATATCATCTATGAATCCCACATTATTCTAAGGATATTGTTGCTCTAAGAGTGACCTGAAAATACCACAACATTGCATCCAGAATGTGGCTATGCATCTCGGGAGAATCCTCAATTTCTATTGGTAACGTTGCATAGATCACATGACAAAGTCTTGTGAAGACCACTTATCTTCAGCAGGATAGTGTGCTTTCTCAAAAGTTTTAAGATAAATATTTTGTCATCCACTGGTTTATTTCTGCACAGTGAAGGAGTTAAAGCACCATAATGATACCTGAACTGTGATATCACAATAAAGAAATCCTGAGGCAGAGACAAAATCATCAATGAACAATGAAGGTAAGGAAAGAGTTTTTTCTCAATTTGAAGTCTGGAAGAAACTGAACAGTGGAAGGTTGTTCTGTACATGAATGCTGTGTGAGTTATGAGAAAAGAATTTTATGAACTACAGAGATAGTTTGATGTGCTAGTTACTGATCTTCGGAGCTCAAGTTTTGTAGCCCATAGTTACTTCAATAAACATACGGCTCTTTGGAAGTAAACAAGTAACAAGCTCTTGGTTGGGAAAGTTGGAGAACACACACAACTCCAGAAGGATGAGAGGAAAAGAATTCCTTGATGTATAAATATTTCAGTAAAATCAAGACATAATTTAATGGAAAATTACTTTTAACATAATGAAGAAAGAGTACTCACAAATAATATGATACTATACATTACTTAATTAACAGTTACTAATACAAGTATGGTCTCGAATTTTTGAATAAAACAAAAGAAAAATTCTAGGGAACTAATTTAAATTTTTCATTAAATAATAAAGTTCATACAAATAATAAGTGTTATGAATAAAATAACGTTTAATCTGAAAGTGTCCAACAGATGACACTTCTTTCATGAACAATTAACAGGTCTGTAAAGAATTCATTGTGTTTATTATACAACACTTTGAAAATATAAAATGAATGTATACACACGACTATATGTATGAATACAAACATTAATCCATACCTCCAAGAGCTTGTACAGTATAACTGAGGCAACTTGTCATTAAAATAAATATATAAAACATGACAATCATTAAAAATCTGTGGTCTTATATTTCTACCCATATTTCAACACGGCAGGAAAAACTTTAAAATAATCAAGTATGAAGTAGGCTTTAAACATGATTTTTTTTCTCTGAAAGTTGCAAAAGTAAATAGTGTACGCAACAAAACCAAACTTCTGTAAAACTCTGTAACAACACTAATCATGATGGTTTAACATCTCAGACTTGAAGCTAAAAAAAACTGCTAAAAGCTTCATTACTTGCATTGTTTATTTGTTTCATGGTGTAATACAAAAGGTATTTTAAATAACATTTGCTTTTAGGCTAAACCATTTAGGTCACCAAAATATAAAGTTCTCACTTACTGAATCTTTTCCAGTAGACTTTAAAAGAGGTCCGTCAGCAAAAGATGATAGCTGTGAAAGACACAGTTGTGAATATAAAATCCAAATCATTATTTAATACGAGTTTTCAAACATAAAATTCCTACAAACAAATTTATTAAGACACTTTATCAACACCACATTTACAAAAAACAACTACGGCATTGACGTAATCAATGAATTTGTCATTTTAATTCTAGGGTTGTGTGTTTGAAGGATGCCTTAATACAAGACTTCAAGTTTCTAGCAAGTTAAAAAAGTAATTTATTTCTATTTTTTAAATACAAATCTCAATGTCAATCAATATTATACTCCAAACAAGTTTCTTTTTGTTGTACATAGTAACACTTTTATTTTTACAGACAACGTTGTATTTTATAAATATACCTCTTTCTAATATTTAATTCAATATTGTACTTGTTGTAATGTCAAATTGTGTTATGCAGAAATACATGACAACACATAGTAATATTTCAGGTTTATCTTACTCCTCCCCCCCAAAAAATAGACAAGTGGTCATTGTAACTCTTCCACTCATTTCTGTATTTTATTTTTTAATTTCTAGATTCAATTTTTGTGCAAAAAAGAACTTAAATATTTTATTTCAAATAAAACATAACTGTTCATTGAAAGGAAAATTTATTTATAAAAAAGTCATTTCTACTGGAAATAACAGCAACTTGTTTTCTCTCTCTCTGATAAATATGCACTTTATCCAAAAGATCCCCTAAAACAAACAAAACAACAACTGCAGAAGTTATGATAAAAATTTATAAGTACCCTTCATTACCTTGACTGATATTTTTTTTTAATAATCTGATATACAGAAACAAAAATAAGATATTTAGATGACTATATAAAACCTGTTGAAATCAACACAATCAAACAACAATCTTATTAAACATCTGTACGTTGAGCTGAAAATATTTCCACACACAAGTAAAATCTGAAAACAAGCTATAAAAATCAATTATACCATATTTTTTGGAATATAAGATGCACCCTTATTTTGAAGACAAAGTTTTGGGGAAAAAAAAGCTACAGTCGCATTTGAAGGATTTTTATTGAACAAAAATTCAATTTGATACTTTAAAAATTAATATACATTGTTCTAAACACAAAAGAGCTCAAAACATCAAAATAAGAAAATACCGTAAATCAAAAAAAAGGTTTACTGTTGTTTAGTTTGGTTCAAAACCTACAAAATCTTCATTGCTTTCACTGTAATTTATTTTTTTATTATTTTGGGAGCATTATAAATAGTTATGTTTTTAAAAGAAAAAAACAACTATTGTTATAAATAACACATTCAATTGAACTAAACTATGCATGCCTGTTTAAATATACTTACACATTGCTTGTGTATATCGTATATATATATATATACACATGTATATTATTCATACCTTCAGTATACAGGACACAAGCAGATTTTGACATCAAATTTTGGGGTAAAAAAGTGCGTCTTATGCACCGAAAAATATGGTAATTGTATCTCAAATCAATCAATACTTTACACATACATGCTGATTTTTAAAAAATATTCTTTCTTAAAATAACTTGGTGAATTCTTAATCACATTCCTGCTAACAGGATTCATAAGACGTTGAAAAAAATCTGATCCAATTATGACTAGGATAAATGATAAGTTTTATTTAGATAAAATAAAAGTTAGTAACATTTGAAACCAACATAAATTTATAATATAACATAAGTGATGTGTGTGTTACACTAATTTATTCAAATCCAAATATTTATTTCAATATTAACTTATCAAGTGTTACTAAACACATCAATAATTAACCAAGTTAAAAGCCAACTGAATTTTGCACTTTAAAACAAAACCAAAACAAACAACTAAAAACCTTGCAAATTTTTTGGTCAAATATACTGTATGATAAACAAGTTATGTTTGCTGTTTTCACTCCAAGGGAATAATTTTTTTTCACTGGAATAACCTTTTTTCAATCTAATATTCATGTGCAAGTATTGCAAGCCCAATAAAAGTAAATCAGAAGGGTTCATACTGAAAAGTTCAAATTAAAAATTAATGTAGTTTTCAAATAAAGTGATGTATGAACAAAATGTTCTTTCAAGTCCACGAGTCTATCACGTACCTTGGAGTCAAAACCTTGATCCGAAATATCAAGTGTGTTTTCTCTAGACTTTGATTTTTGTCTCTCCTGTTCCACAATACTTCTGTAGTAAGGATCTAGTGGGTGTTCCCAACTAGCTTCATCTGTCTTTTGGTTGTAATAATAGATTCTTCCTCGTGGGTCTTCTCTAAAAAATAAAAGTTTAATACATGAAGTCACTAACTAGAGAAAGACTCTACCACATAACATGATAACACATCTGACTACAGGTATTACACTGACTAGATTACAATAACATACGGTTATCAAGGGGCCAGTTGGTCCTTTAAGGCTGCCCCTACACCTACCCACTCCCCCCAAAAAAGGTATTTTTCAGGAAATAATTGAATCTCCATCTTAAACTCTTGTATAATGCTGGCTTTCATTACTGATGATGGCAACTCATTCTATAAGCTAATCACCATGTTAGAAAAATGTCCTGCCATTCACTCTACCAGACAATTGTGTAAAAGTCCTTCAATGTTGTTATTGCACATTCACCCTTGAGAAAATTAAAAACTTAAACTCATCCTTCATTTATCAGGAAGTAAATTAGTCTCCTCTTTAACTCTTGTAAAGTACTAGCCTCTACCTCCTCTTTAACTCTTGTAAAGTACTAGCCTCTACCTCCTCTTTAACTCTTGTAAAGTACTAGCCTCTATCTCCTCTTTAACTCTTGTAAAGTACTAGCCTCTACTTCCTCTTTAACTATTGTAAAGTACTAGCCTACTACCTTCTCTTTAACTACTTTAGTAAACTACGTATCCTACTTACCTCCTTACGTTTAAACTCTTAAGTTAAACGTAACTTAGACCTTACTACCTCCT